AGTTACCAAAATTTTATTTAGTTCTTTTATAAGCCTTTGTTGCTTTGTTTTGCTTGCTTTTGAAAATACACATGTTTGTTCGCTCTTTTTAACATTTTAAAAATTTGTTTCGTCGCAATATTGAAATATTACTGTGAAAATTGTACACAGATTTTCAATGAATTATTTACGTTTTCAATTAAAACGTATCGTCACATAAAACGGCCCCTATTTAATCATAACACGACATTAAAATCAACAAAATCGATAATATTTTGCTATTACAATATTTTCTAATATTTTTCAAATATAAAAATAATAAATGTAAATAAGTAAAATAATTGCGAATTCACGAGAAATCATTTAATACGCTCTAAAATCGATAATAATATCCTTTTCTCTTTGGACCTTTAGCAAGAATGAATTAATACCTGTTACAACAAAGAACAAGAATTAATTGATGTGATGTATCATTTGAATAGACTCCAACATTCTCTCAGATTCAGATTGCAATTAAAAATTTATAGAATGTTTCCCTCGAAAAAACTTCCATTTTTGTCGTCATTTACTTTCCAATTTCCATTATCTAGAAAATGTTGCTAAGAAACTTTTTCATTTATTTATTTTCTATTCATTTGCTATCCAAGCGATACATCTCCGCATGTTCGTTGGACAATTTTTCGGACGCCGTGCGCGACGATTATCAAAAAAACAAACCGCCCCCTGTGTGAATAGAGGCGCGCGCACACGCCGAGCCGCAGAAAATATCGTTAGGAACAATCGCGAGGAATTTTCATTGCGTCCTTTTCAAAGAAATGCCCGGTACACGTTCGTTTGTTATAAAATTTCATTTGCCGGTGCGAAAGGAACGCTGGCGTTTAGTTAGTTGCGTAGTTCGCTAACTAAATCAATGGCACGCAAAAATAATGCCAGCTGTAATACCACGCGAAGCATTACGCACGGCAATGAGAAAGAAAGAAAGAAAGAAAAAAGGAGATCTGTATTTCTATTCGAAATCACGTCTCGTTAGCGGTAGCAAATACAAACCAATCTTTCTCCACGTCGAACGCGTTGATGAAAACAGTCGAGAAAAATTGTACTCTCGTATCAATTGTCACATTTCGTAATGGCAGTGAATTGTTTTATTAACTACCGGGGAAAAGATTTTTCTAATTCGATTTTTCATTATTATTCACGATGAAGCAGTAATTGAACTGTGTGTGCATTAATCTGCGTAAATGTTCGAAATTTTTGTATATTTTTGTACATTTGTATTTATGTTTTTAAATTGAATTGCCTGGATAGAAAATTGTCGTGGAAATATCATTTATTATTTGAATTTAATATATCAATATATTGCAATTTAATAGTTAGACAGATTGAATTTGTTTATTTCTACGTTGCACTTTTGCTTTCTTCCTTAGGGCAATGACAGCTCTGTTTTACGACGATTCTAAATATCGAAATAAATTATTTCAGCACCTGTGGCTGTTTACTATATTCCACATTGAGTTTCTATCTACTTCCTTTCAATGAAGAAATTTCTTTGTCTGTCCAGCTAATTCATTCAGTTTCACTGTATCTTTCTATTGTAATACAATCGAACTCCAACGTCAACTCTACTCAAATGTGCATCGAGGAACTATTCGAGGACTACTACGAAAAAGTCGACCGCACGAGTCGAAATTCTGCAGATCACCGTTCACTCGTTTCGTCTCGAGCTTCCGTTTCGTTTTCCTTTAAACGTGTGTGCGTGCTACTCTTCATATTTCCCGTTTGAAGCACCTCCGTCCGTTTTCAGTTTCCGCCGCAGCGAATTGAAACTCGCAGGTTTCGCCCCGGTTGGGGGAACTGCGGCAGAAAACGATCGACAGAAAAATCCAGTACAGAAATCCTGACCGAAGCGAAAGCCAGGCGAAAGGTTGGCCG